TGCTTGCAGGATGATGGCATTGCTGGCACGCTTCCTGGGCTTGAGCCTAAAGGAAAATTAAGTAAACAAGTTTATACACCCACTGCCCTCCGCTCATGAGATTTGCCATGGAAAAATTTATAATGTACAGTGAGTGCATAAGCTGTATTTGTAGCTCTGGTGGGTAATTTCCAAGCCAGAGGAAAAAAAAAATGTTCTAGCAATTTAAAAGAAGAGGCCCTTACCCTCAAACCTTCAAAACAATATGAAGCAGGGTTCTGAACAGAGCCACATCCATACTCAGTGTCCCCAGGGACTCAGCCCCTTATTCAGTCTGTAAGAAAATGCTTCACCTCTAAAAACCCATATGGGCCATCAGGGTTCCTGTCCTTGCTCTTCTCTGAATTCATGCTGATCCCTGTGCCAACACCATCTTGAGCTTCAGGGCAGTGCTGACACTCTGGTCAAAGGGTGAGCAACTCCTGGGTTCTGGGATCATTTCATTACCAAGTAAGCTCGGTCACGAAGGTGAAAGATGGAAGCCAGTGCATTCAATTTACCCAGGGTTTGTACAACATTTACACCAATGTCCTTTCCTTGTCAAGAGGGCAAAAATTTAATAAGGGGCTGTGTCATCTGCTAAAAGGTTTCTCCCCAGGACCTCCCCAGTGGTGCAGCGGTTGAGTGCTGGGTTGGGAAGCTGCCTGCAGCCTCTGCAGCTCTGGTTCGATCCCAGCCACTGGGCGAGGGTCCCACATGGCGCACAGACCTCTCCTGCCACCCGCTGCTCCCCTCAGCATTGTATTTCGTTGGTCTGCCTGTTCTGCTCTCCGCTCTGGCTCTGGTGAATTCTCTCACCCTCCCCTGCTTCTGACTGTACCCCAGTACTTGTAAAAAATAAATAAATCTTTAAAAAAAAGGTTTCTCCCTAAATTCTCTTTACCTAAAAATCCAGGTGTCAAAGGTATCTGTTGATTCACAGCTGAGATAATATAGTCTACTCACACTCTACCCTTGGAGCTAGCAGTTACTGTGGTCCACATATATTTCATAAGCCGCTTCATCTTCACACCGTGTCACAAACAGCCTAATGGAACCTTCAGGGAAATGAACCAAGCAGGCAGATTTCCACCTGTGAGCCTGGGAGATAATAATTTGATAATACTATGACTTGTGCTTCTTTTTGACTTGCCCTCTTAAGAATAATAAAAGAATGGTTTCCTTTAAAAGTAAGAATAGAACTATACTTCAATTGTAACGCACTTAAGTTTTCTTTTACATTTCGGTATTTCTGAAATCAGGAAATATTAACTAAGAGATGAGTGCATTCAAAGTAGAATTTTATTATTCTTATTACTTGTTATTTGCCAGATCTGATAAAATAGGTATCTTATAAAACAGGTGACTTGTATTGTTTTCCAATTGGCTCAAGGCTGACCTATCATGCACAGTAATTCTAGTCCTCCTTAAGTATTTAAATCCATTTTCCCTTTATTCATTTTTCATTAGAATAAACGCAAGTTGCACAGGATGCCACCATAGATGTGAACCAAGTGTGAAGAAAACGCTCATCCTAGATGTTTAAATGGGTACATTTACTATAAATCCATACAAGACACTCAATTTCATATTTTCTGAGTTGTAGCTGTTTTATGAATTTGTCTTCTATACTGGTGTCAGTTGGACTTATTCTAAAATGATGGAAATGTTCTATATATTTGCAATGCACAATGTATTGTCTGAAACTTGTTCCATGTGGCTACTGAGCACTTGAAATAAGCCAATTGAATGCTAGGAACTGAAGTTTTAGCTTAATTTTAATGAATTAAAATTTAACATTATATATTAAACAGGACAGAGGAACCACAAGTATTCACGTGTGTATATATAAATAAAAATAATCATGATTAATAACATAGCTTCAATCGTAAAATATTATAACATTATTTAAAACAGCAACACAGTAGAAGAATGCCCTATAGTATTATAGGTTAAATAAATTAGATATTGGACATGCACTCTGAATTTTTTAAGAAGGTTGAAATTACATATACTATTAAAAGATGACTACTATGTGCATGAAAAAGGAGAGCTCCAATTTAACTTCTTTGCCCAACTCAAAACTCACAGAAATAACTGTAAAAGAAAGGAAGAGTGAAAATGCATAATGATACTAAAACTGGGCCTGTACTTTGAAAAAGGTACCCATGGGCCTGTATACTTGGAAAAAGGTACGGAAGTTAGAATGTAGATGAGGATATGCAGTTAAAGAAAACCAAAGAAACCAGTTTTGCATGGGGAAGTGTAAAGAGAGCCCTTTGTCTCCCCCACTAAAATCCTAGACAGTGACCTTCAGGGTGGGATCCCTGCACCTGTGGTATCAGCATAACCAGAGAATGTGAGAAATGCAGATTCTCAGGCACCACACTGGTACCACTAACTCAGATCCCTTGGGGGCTGGAATTTGTGTCAGCCAGTCCTCCTTGGACATTTTTCTGCCCAATCAGTATGAGAATGCCCTAGAGAGCTCCTTCTCAACTTTGACTTCTCCTTGTCATCACCTACAGAGCTCAAATGACTGATTAAATAGACCTATTCCAGAAGACAGAAATCTACAAACATTAATTCAAAGGCAAGTTAGGTAGATGTAGAAGATCCAAGATGTTTCTAGTGGGAGATTGAAGGAGTAGAGACTATATATAGAGAACACGAAAATATATATAAAAATAAAAGTTTTTTTTTTTTTTATTCAGGGGAAAAAGCCTTCAGCATTCACTATTTTCATACTAATATGAAGATGAGCCCTTTTATCTAAGTCTACTTTGTAAAGAAGGGAGAACTGCAAGGGCAGAAGTCTTCATGTCCAGGTATGCATGAAGGTCACAAATACATCGGCATGAAGTGCCAGAGGTTCTGAATACAACGCCTGCCACTTGTCACCAGGGACTAACAATTGTTAGAGGAAGTTGTAATTCCAACACAGTACCCTCAGACAACCTCCTGCCCACCTTCCAATAATGCTAGATACAATTCAAGAAAATGTGGAACTAGGAGAGCAAAACATACTAAATTTTTATGCAGTGATACCATGGAACATTTTCAATCTTTTTTTACTTGATTCTTGATAAATAATTATAAGTAAGTCTCACTAGAATGTTACAGGAGTATTTTTATAATTTGAAATAATTCAAGGATCACTTAAAATACATGATAGGTCCATTATCTAACATCACCATCCCTATAAGCATGCATGCTTGCACCTGCAAATTCTCTCAACTTGCTACGATCCTTAAAGTCTTAAGGAGCTCAAATACCCTGAAGGGAGTGCTAGGTTATTTAGAACAACAGGAAAATGTGGGGGTCTTTGCCTTGCTCCTCATAGAGACAACTGTAAAATGATTCCTGTGAGGAAAATCTGAGAAAAATAGAGATGGCTAGTTAAATAACCACACACAAGGTTCTACTTCAGATCTTAGCAGGGAAATGACTTCCATCACTTCCTAAAAGAATTGTTCCCAGAAGTAAACGCCTATGGGACCTGCATCCTCATATAACCCAGGGCTCACCTAATTGTCCTTTACCTAAGGCCCCACATATTTTTGCCGGTGCCAAGTAACTATTTACTCAGAGATTCTTAAAAATCAAACAATTCCTTTATTGCCCAATGTAATTCTTTCTTTCCCAGAAAATAGTGTTATGATATCAACAACTTACCAGATTTCCACCAGCTGTGCTATGAACATTTATTTAAAAAAAAAAACAAAACCAAAACCCCAGAAATCATTCTGCCCCAAATTGACTTTTGGCATCCTTTACAATTAGTCTAGTTTTGCCATTAGGGTGGACAGCTCTGATCTTTCAAGAGGAAATTTTGTGGTTACCTGAAAATAGTATCTGATTCAAATACTGCTCCCCTCCTTCCCTAAGTTCCCTTTCTCAGTGTAAATGCCCTCCTTCCTCCCACTCATTTTATTTTCCTGTGGGTTCTTCATACTCCATGACTTATTATTATTCACATTTTGGCTTTCTGATTCCTAAATCTTTCTTAAAATTCTGTGATCTTACTGACCACCATACTCAAGTATAACTGCATAAGTAAAGCAGCTGCTACTTATGGAAGTATCAGTACAGAGCACTGCAAAGTATCAGTACAGAGCACTGCAAAGCACTGTCTTAACTCATTACTAATTAGGTATCACAATATGGCACAGATGGGGAACTACAGTCAGGAGAAGCTAAGTGACTGGTTCACTAAGTTTGAGGCATTCAGTCCTGTCAGCCACCTGTGTTCAAGGAGAGTTCTCCCATTTACTATACCACACCAGCATAGACCCTGCCTGACCACAACATTCTCTAGCACAGACATTGTGAAATCTACTGATATACTCTGAGGCAGCTACCACTTTCACCTTAGGAGTGAAGGAACGCACTGCACTCAATGTTCTTAAAAATACTATCTGTAAATCTACTGAAGTATTAGCAAGTAGATAGCACAACCTGGGCCCAAAATATTAACCCTGTGCCATAGTAAACTTGGATTAAAAATTTCAATCTGATTCAATGTATCCATCTACACTGACTTATGTACAAGCACTATTAAGAATGAAATTGTGGAAAAGAAACAGCACCTTAGTTCCATGATCATCTAATAGAAAGTTGTTTGCATATGACATCTAAATTGGAATCCAATCAGATGACAAGCACTCTTCTGTCTTCTGCTTTCCTAAAGTGAGCTGAATGTCTCTAGGAAGACGTGTGCTTCCATTCTCACACACTCACAAGGACCTTCCACTACCCTGAATATAGGGGCTTTAGATGGCTGGCTGGTGATCATTATCATCTTCAGTTAGTTTCAATGTTAACAAAACCATAAATGGATTAGTATAAAAGTGGAATGTCCTTTACACTTCATCTAAGCAGAGATGTCAAAGAGCTTTACATCTCCTTCTTTGTATTGTTTTTATAATTAATTCTTTATCCTTTGGCAGATGTAAAAAAATAATTTGCATTTTATATTGTAGGCACAGCTGGTTGAGGCAGTCTATGAAGATGTGGAAAGCCCTACTGACAGAGACTTATTTGGAATGTAACAGCCAGGGCCAGAAACAAAATCTACAAAAGCTGAGAAGGATATGCTGTGATTTGGTTTCTCCTTGACTGGATTTATTAGTTCTTTTATATTTAGGGCAAATCTGTGGCACTATGGGGCTTTTAAGATATACAATAAAAATGAAAGTTATTATAACAATAATTATTATCAAAATCACTGTTTATTCGATACCTACACTGTGAAAAAGTGCTAGAATCTTTACTTGAATTAGTTAATCTAAACCTCATGACAAACTCATGCAGTAAATAGTCTTACCCTTATTTTACAGATGAGGAAACAGAGGCATTTTCCCCACCATACAGATAATCAGTGACTCAAGAGTCAGGGCAAGAACAGATTTCTGTTGCTTCCACAAAGAAGCAGAGACCCTACTGGATGTGTCAGCAAATCCTTGACCTAGCCCTGTGAAGATGCCTGTTGGCTAATCCTTTATTCCACTGTAGAGAACACTAATGTTGAGAATGACTGAGAAACCAACATTGAGAATCAGAGCACTGACCTTAGTCTCCTAGACAGAGGCTGCTCCATACACAGGTGAGACAAAATACACAAACAAGTGTGGAAAATAGGAACCTCTGTCTTAAGTAGTATGAGCAGCCTGTCAATGGGTCTAGTTGAGAGAATTCCATATTCCCATTTAGACAAATACTTTACCTAATCCATGAGAGTCTGGAACCTGGTTGAAGACTTTAAAACAGTCTTACCTTTGTGAAAAGGGAAGGTGGGCCATATAGCTGATATTGGTACTAGAAAGCATTTCTGGCTCAATAATAGAGCTATTCCCAATTCAAAGGTATAGTAATCCCTTCACATTTCCCCCTTTATTTTAAAAACCACTTTTCATTTCTGGATAGAGCAAGCCAAATGACCTGTAGTGTAATTATATATTATATCCTCATATTGTGATTTGAACTTAATATAGATGTTTTTAAAAAAGGGGGAGTTTTTTGACTTGTCCTGAAATTCTACTTGTCAGCATTCCATTTCAAATCATGCCCACACCTGGGACAATTCATTACTTCTATATTATACTTCATCATATTCCTAAGTAGTGAGAACACTCGAAAGAGCTTTGTTTATATTGGCAAGTGCATCACTTTGTTGTCATTTAGTATTTTAGGGAGATATTTCCCTAGAAATACAAATGAACATTCTACTGTCGTTTTTCCAACTTGACCTAAAGTTTGGAGGCAAGATACATACAAGTTATGGATGTGAATGTAGACATAGTGTGATTAATTGCTTTCAAACACACAGATAACAGAAGCATGTAAGTAAAAGGTGAGAAGTGGGTGGTAAGTAAAAGAACTGAAATATTTGGGACTATATTTCCACTTTTTATTGGCAATTAAGGACCTAGTTATTGTCTGCATAAAATAGTTGGTCCATTGGGTTCAGCAAATCCCATTAATTTTACAGAACTTCTCCATTCCCTAAATTTAAGAAAAACTATGTAGTAAGCATAGTGTATACTGACTACCTAGAATCTTCAATACTTTATTTCAAGACTTGCTCTATTCTTTCTTTAACATCTTAAGAACTAAATGTTTCATCTAGGAGGTACTTTTCACTAACACAATTTTATATTCATTTTCCCAATACATAATTACATCATTCATTTACTTAGATAATATCAATCTCCCTCATCAAAATAAAGGACAAGTATATTGTCTACTTCTATTCACCATTATATCTCGAGATTATTTTAATACCTGTTAAATAATTAGTTCAATAAATATTTAAAGAATGAGCAAATTCTTGAATGAATCAATATACTCATGAATGAAGACTGTGCTCGATTCTGATATTCTCCTACTCCAAACTGCCCAGAATCAAGTTATATTATCCTCTTTGAAATCAACACAATATAAAAATTGTTGTTAGGGAGACAAGATGATAGTGGCTTAGCGACCCACTATTAGGATCATTTACAATTGAGAGAGAGAGAGGAACAACAGGAAGTAAAGCAGGGTAGCAAGGAGGAAAGAAGCAAAGATAAAGGAGAAGGAGAGGAAGGGAATTGTGACATGATGGAGAGAGAAGGAGAATGAGATTAAATGCACAACTGGAGTTTGCCTACCAGGAAGGAATGTATGAATAAGGTAGAATGTCATGCATCAACTTCAAAGTTAGTTGTTTGAGGTAGGGGAGTAGAAACTCATTTTAATACACTTAGTTAATGACCTACTTGGAATATAGGGACCAGATATTAGCATATTTTTAGTGTGACACCATATTTCATTCTCTATAACAATGAATTGCTGCCTTACTAAAAACACACAAGCTTCCCCCAACCCTTGCAGGGTTTTTTTTTTTTTTTTTTGCAAGGACAGGCTAATATCCTAATTTTTTGAAAAGGGATCTTTACTGTTAATCTAGTCTTTCTGATATTAGTAGCATTATCAATATAAGTCAGTCCTCAATTATGACATGAGCACAGAATCAGTGTCACTCAGTGGCTACAAATCTTAGTAATAACTTTACCTTTTGAATCTGTTTCCCCAGCTGAAAAGACAGAAATAACATCTACCCTGTAGACTTCAAGGTAAAAATGCTCAGAGACAAATATAGTTATTATATAACAATAAAGGGATAAATTGACTAAGAAGGTCAATAAATATGTTTGCATTCAACACTGGAATGTATATTCCAGAACTAGGAAGAGAATTAAATAGCAATAAATATAATAGTAGTTAGGGACTTCTAACAATGGATAGCTCATCTAGACAAAGAATCAGTAAGGAAGTAGCAGATCTGAACAGCACTCTAAATGGACCTATACAGAACATTCCATCCAACAGTAACAGAACACACATTTTTCTTGGCCACATGTAGATTAGTTATATATTATGCCACAAAACAAGTCCCTAAAAATTCAAGAAGGTAAAAATTAAATCAAGTGTATTTTATGACCACACTGGTATAAAACTAGATATCAGCAACTGGGGTAAAGTTGGAAAATTCTCAGATGAAAATAAAATAATACAATTCTGAGTAACAAATAGAAGAAAGAAAACAAAAGGGAAATTAACATATTGAGGCAAGTGAAATGGAAACATGTTGCCAAAACTTATGGGATGCATCAAAAGCAGTTAATAGGAAAAGTTATAGTGACAGACATAGATATCAAAAAAAAAAAAAGTAAAAACCTAGCATTAAACAAAAGGAAATAGGAAAAGAAGTACAAACTAAATCCAAAGTTTATAAAGATCAGAACAGAAATAAATCAGAGAAAAGAATATAGGGAAGGATTTCTTTTTTTTTTTTTAAGATAAAACTGACATACCGCAAGCTAGACTAATCAAAAAGAAAAGCAACAAATTGGGTATAGAAGGAAGGTACTTCAACATAATTAAGGCCATAATGGCTAACATCATACTCAATGGTGAAAGGTTGAAAGATTTTCCTCTCAGATCAGAACTAAAACAATAAAACCCAAACTCACCCTCCTATTCAACACAGTACCGAAGTCCTAGCCAGTGCAGTCAGACAAGACAGAAATAAAAGACATCTAAATCAGAAAGGAAAGAGTAAAATTTCCTTTGCTTGTAGATGACATGATCTTGTATAGAGAAAACCCTAAAAACTGCCAAGAAACTGTTATAAATAATAAATGAATTCAATAAACTCACAAGACACAAAATTCAGTTGCATTTATATACCCTGCCAATGTACTCTCTGGAATAAAATAAAGAAAACAATACCATTCATAATTGTACTAAAAATAATAAAATTCTTAGATAGAAATTTAACCAAGCAGGTGAAAGATCTGTACACTGAAAACTGTAAGACTTTGATGAAAATAGCTGAGGAACACACAAATAAATAGATATTCCATTTCCTAGAACAGAATTGATATTATTTAAATTTCCATATTTTCCAAATCATTTATAGATTCAATGCAATCCTTATCAAAATTGAAAAGGCATTTTTTTACAGAAATATAAAGAAAAAACCCTGAAATGTGTGCAGAGCCACAAGAGAGACTGAATAGACAGCAATTTTGAATAAGAATAACAAAGCTGGAGGAATCATATTTTCTGATTTTACACTATACTTCAAATCTATAATAATCAAAAAAATTATGGTACTGACATAAAATCAAACATGATTTATAGAACAAATTATTGGGAGTTCAGAAATTCTCAAATATATGATTAACTAAGAGCGGATGAGGGAGTCAGGAATACTCAGTGGAGAAAGACAGTCTCTTAAATGGTGCTAGGAAAACTTCAGTATCCACAAGCCAAAATTAAATTTGGTCCATATGCTACATACTCACAAAAATTAACTTGTAATAGATTAAAGACTTAAAGAGTGAAAACCATAAAATTCCTAGAAAGAGCAAAGGGAAAAGGCTAATATTTTTCCATATAAACACTAAAAACACAAGCAAAAATAAACTCATGAGCCTGTTATCTAAACGTTATGTTAAGGGGCTCCCTGGAGCAAGGGGTTAAGACGCAGCCTATGAAGCTATCTACAGCCACTGCAGCAAGGGGTTTGATCCCTGGCAGGCCAGGGAGCAACCCACATGGCACAGCAGACTTCTCCTGCCTTGCCTGCTGCTCCCCTCAGCAGAGCACTTCAGTCAGTCTCAGTCCACCTGTTCTGATCACCCCTCTGTCCCTGATTAATCCTCTCACCCCCCACACCTCTGGCCTGTACCCCAGTTCTTGTATGCATATATAAATAAATCTTTAAAAAATAAAATTTATGTTAAAAAAACTATTTAGGTGATAGATATGTTAACTAACCTTATTGTGGTGATTATTTAGCAATGCATACATACATCAAAACACCACAAAGTCCTTATACATGTCAGTTATATTTCAATAAAGCTCAAGCCCCCCACCCCACCCTAACAATTCTACCTCATACATAAGTGTAATTGTGGAGTAAAATGAGATATGTAAAAGTTCCTTTATAAAACTTAAACTCTGGGTCTAAAGGATTATCATGTTAATTATTAAACATTCATGTCAGAATTATAATTACATAAAACCCAGTGCTGCTAATGTCTTTCATCATCAATTCTTTACATATATAGGCATTATTTACCCATCTGAGAGTACTGTGGAAAGTTCATATGAAATCACATCAGTGCAAGTATTTTAACCAGTACGATTATTTAAAAATCCGATCAAATTCTACCACAAAAAAAATCAGTCTCCAGCACAAAATTTATAAGTGTCATAAAACAATGCACTTTCCCCAAAATATCCTTACATCAAAAATTTGAAACCACCAAAGAATCTGGACTTTGAAGAAATCATTCCACACTCTCAAGACTATCAGAAGTTATGAAAACACAAAGTTATCCCAAATATAGTTACAAAAATAATCATAAAAATCTTTTAGGTCAATTTCACTAAATAGTTTTATCTGACAAGAAATCGAATGTGAATATAATGATGATTTGGAAATTAAAGTATGGAAGCTATTTCTTTTACAGCAATTAATTAGCCCTAGAAACTATTTTTTTTATGGGCAAAAATATCAGCAATGTGTCATAAATGCCATATTTCTGCTCTGAGCAGTGATTTAAGTAATGCTGTTTGCCTCAGCTAGAGCTACTTGTGATGGCTTAGAGTATTCTCACAGCAGTTGTTACTCGTTATCAAAATGCTGGATATAAAATCATCATCCAATTGTTTGGTGGAGGCATGATAACATGGCAAGAACTTGATCAAGAAAAGAAATAAAAAAATTATCTTCTACTTCAAACAACCTCCCTGTGTGACCTGGTTATAAAATCAATGTTTTCACCCACTGCACAGGGTAGGGGATAGAACTGTCACGAAGGATACTGAAACTATGGCCTAGAAAATTAACAGTAGTGCAAAACAGGTCAGCCCAGGAAAGAGAACACACACACATACACTAGTCTTGCTTCTCATATTGCCTTTGGCAAGAATATGAAAAAAAAAAATTAGATCCTGAAAATAGTCTCTTGGGGGGAAGGGAAACATTCCATCAATCCTCTATGAATGTATAATGAATCCAGAAGGCTACATTCATTTTAAAATTGCAAGAGATAGCGTGCAGGAGAGGCAAAGACAATTAGGGCATCTCAGGTCAGCCTGCTGGCACCGCCATCTATTCTCGAAGCTTGTTGAAGCTCTTTGCCCCAACTCCATACTTTAAATGCCTAGAATAGCCCTTGCTCTTCCAAGCCCTTTGCTTTGTCATTTTATTGCTGGATTACTTCTTTCCTGTTCATGTAACCCAGGGACTAAGGGATGGGACTAAGAGAGTCACAATAGCATTGAGAGAATAGATACCCCCACACCAAGCTCTGTGCAGAAACCTTGCTGAACCCGTGGTTTGGATATGAACCGGGGGAAGAGGCCTCAGCCTAAGGAGAACCTCCAAGCCTAAGGAGAACCTCCAAGCTGAGACAGTCAGTTTAGCTAGATCTTCAGAAAGACTTACAGCTTTCGATTTCCAAGGTGCAGTTTTGTTCATCCAGTGGGTATCGCCTTAGGTCCATCATGCAAGCAGCTGTGGTTGTGATTCTAGGAGAGAAATAATGATAGATTAACTGGAATGTAGCTGAAATTGGAAAAATTAAACCCAAGTATTAAAGCGGACAGACTGAATCTCATGAAGAGTGATTACAAAAAAATCATCACAACCTTGGATACCTATTTTTTTCTTTCTGAGCTTTACGCTGATTTGCAAAATGAAGAGACTAAATCAGTATTGTCCCAAAACGTGAACCATTACCCGCTTGTACCAAAATTACCTTTCCTTGTTAAACAGGCAGTTCCGTGTTCCTCAATGGTTTGGTGGGCAGGAGCAATTCCATTATTCTAGTTTACATGCATTCCAAGGGATTGAGAATACTGGTGTTGATACTCCTCTTCTGCTCATGTTTGTTTCCTCTTCCCTTTCTCAGGACTCTACAGACCTAATCTCCCATCAGACTTCACTTAGATCTATCACTTTATCCCATCTCCTCACAGTCTAGCGCTCTGCAAATGCTTTAACACAACACAAAATCACCTTTCATCTACTACCTGTTTTGCTCTGTGCTCACTACTCTCATATCCCCATGATTTCTTACAGCTTCCTATTATGAGCTAGCAGAATTCTTTCTTTAGACCACTTAGTATCTGTATTATTTTATCAGAGAGAAATGAATGTCTATTTCCCTTTATGTTTTCTAGTTCTTTATACTACACTAATCTATACTAATCTCTCTACTAGAAAAAGACACAAACAAAAAAAAACCACACATACAGCCCTAAATGATTTATCAGTATATGTTTCTGATCAATGAGACAGCATTAAAGTATGAAAAACTGCAAGGATTAAAACACAACCTAGGTATTCTAATTCTGCCACACTGACGGTAATATCAAGATTTCTGTAAGAATTGATAATTCCAAGAGAATATTAAAAATAATATAAATGCAATATATTAGAAGAAATATACTAAAGAACATAAAATTTTAGAGGGCAGAAATGACATTGAGTTTGACCAACCTGATCTATTCTATTCTGAGGGTCATTGTATTTTTTGAGGGACAGAGAAAAAGACCCCAGCCCCTGCTTGGGAGAAGTAGTCCACATCTAGACCTTTTCATTAGAAAGGCTATGGGAAAAGCTTAGACAAGGAATCCAGTGGATAGAGTAGAGGGAATTCCTTAGGCAGTAGAGAGTCCCACTGCTCAGCTATAGGGAGGAAGGAATAAGTGATGGACTTCATGTAAGTAGTTTTTGCTGCCTAATTTGATCACTGCTCCATTAAGAATCCTAGAGCCCACTCTCATTCTTGGTTCCTTGCTTTCCTTCACCAAGTCCTGTTGGCTACTCTGACTCACCTCTTTGGATGCCTGTTGTGCCCTCTCCAAGTCACAACAGCTGCTTTGTCTCCCTGCCTCTGCATGGCATACAGTACTATCCACACAACAGCCAGAAATCTTTAAAAAATGTAGATCAGATTGTATTACTCCTCTGCTTAAAAATGTGTTGTGACTCTTCCAATAAAATCCTAAGTATTGGCTTTGGCCAACTCTGGCCTGAATAATTCAACCCTTTCTCTCTCATACTGTAGTCACTACCATCCAGAATTTTAATGTATTCTCTTTGCCTAGAATATATGCCACCCTGATCTTTACTGAGTCCTCTTTCCTGATCCCTTGACTCGAAAATACCTCCTTTGACAGGCCTTTCCTAAGTAACTAACCCAAAGTGGTTATTTTAGCTAATACTCACTCCTTCTTATTTGTGTATTTCCTTCAAGCAATCAGCACAATCTGAATTAACTTGCTTATTTTTCTTTTAGGAACAGCATTTCTTCCAATAAACTTAAGTTATTTAAAGGTATAGACTCTGTTCTATTTACTCTAAGGCAGCCAATGGATAAATTATAGAGGTAAGCAGTTGATTTTGCTAATAAAAAATCTTTATGCCTTTTTTGTCTTCCTTTATTTTCTTAAAATTATAATATGTCTTAGGTTTGTAGGGATTCTTTTTTATATTTTTAACAGTGACTAAAGTTTAATCCACTTAATTAACATTAAATAAATATGATCAGCAGTTACATTACAAAAAGGAACACTTCTACTTTTAGTGGGACTTATCAAAGATTTTATATTGATACATTCTATATTTGATCCATTTATTTTATACATTGTATATTTCATATTTATACATTCTATATTTTAAATTCTATACTTAGTTTCATACACTCTACAAACTTTCATACATTCTATAAAAATGAACTTTCAAATATGATTCTTTGCTCAGGATTAAAATATGACGATTCATGTTGACTATGTGCTACCTGACTGGATTCTCGTTGGTCCACAATACTTTTTAACATGTAGATGCAATATGAACTGCCACTAATGGGCAGAAATCTGTATTATGCAGAAGAGAAATTTTCAAATGACGGGCATACCTAACTCCCATGCTATTTATGTAAAATAGCAGAAGTGATCCTAGTCTTGAGAGAGCAGAGAACACTAATTTCATCTGACAGAATGAAGACAAAGGACATAAAAGGTACAAGGGCACACTTAGGATAGGAAAGGAGAGAGCCATAAACAGATGCCCAACTGTGTAAATGAGGTGAAGTCTGTAATTGCTACTATAGGTTGTGGTTCACACATTCTGCTGATCCATATTCATGGAAGCCAACATCTGTGAGCTAGTGCTATGAACACTAATGCTGTGAGCATGAGAAATGAACTGACTAATGCTATTGCAGAAGCAATGAGCTTCTATTCATGCTTTAAAAATAAATTAGAAGTGGTTTAGCTAGCATTCATATTTTCACCAGTGCTCTACTTCTTTTTGATGCTATAATACACTCCATAAAACTAAGTGTATATATAGATGTTTGCTAGTCCATGTTTACCAGGAATTTGTATCTCCCACTGAATTAAAGCAGAGAATCTGTAGCCAAAACATTCCATTTGGAATCCTGTTTATATAGATCAGGATGAGTGACCTGGAACAAGTCATTTAAATTCTCCAACACTTGGTTTCCCTTGAAAATTTGAATTAAAAACTTGCCTTCCTAATTTGTTTTGAGATGATAAAAGTAGAATGAGATCTGTAACAAATAAAATGCATTGCAACTTTTGTTATACTTATTACTATCTGCTGGTAAGTAAGATACAGTGATAGCTTAAGTGACCTGACCAGTGTTTTTTTTTTTTGGTAGTATCACATGTATGTATCTGTATACATGAAGAAATGTAAAATGTTCTCACAATGATTCCAAACATACACACTTATATCTGCTAATAGATATTGTTACATATAATCTATATTCAAAATACATATTTAGCATTTGCTAAATATATACTTACACTAAAAGGTAGTGTAAATAGCTTCTTAATAAAAAAAAATTACTCTGTATGAGTACATGAAACTCTACTTGACAGATCAAAGTACAGACAAATATAACAAACCTGAGACTTTTTCAATGTGCTTTCTGAGAATTAGAACCACTCATGTTTTTGTCGAATTTGTATTTCAAGCACTTTTCCCAGTGCCTGGTACATGCTACCAACCCAAGATTAAAAATCATCATCAAAAAGAAGAACGTCATGATAATTAACATTGCCAAAATGAGATTTTAGAGCAATTCTCTAAGTACCTGATTTAATTTATGCAAAAATTTTTTAGACATATTTGAAAGTCAAAATCATCTTTACAGAAGACTCTTACTCAGAAATGTTCAGTGATAAGCATCAAAATCTATTCTATAGGACACTGATTTATAACAGGGCTAAGTTTCTTCAAGAATAAGTCAATACAACAAATATACTTACTGGGCTCTTTATTTACATGAATCCTAATAAACATTCCAAATGAACCTTACATGACTCAACCCCACTACCAAGAGCCTTTGAAAGGAGGCTAGTAACTCATCAGGCAGGCATACTTGTGAAGTTTCAGGACAACTGTGAAACATAGGAAGACAGTTCTGTCTTCAAACCAAGCACACAGTCAGTGAGGCTACCAGAATGTATCTGACTTACCTGAGGACAATCTTCTCAAGTTAAAGGAGAAAATGTGCCTTCTTACATAAAGAAAGCCATCTCTTTGGAGTCCCAATACTCCAACTGGTTCAGAAGCTCTTTGGATATTTTTATTCCTTAGCCACTAGACACTATCAACCAAAAAATGACTTGTGTCATAAAATACCGACATGATGCAAGCAAACTAAACAACTGACATAGCCTAAGGTTGTCACTAAAAGCATCTATCAAATCAAAATATTACAACAGCAATACCAGCATTTTGTACCAAAGTCATAATGGATGTTTTATTGGTCATTAGCTGAGATATTGTGACGCCACCATATCATTGCAAGTTTAGTGTTTGCTTCAGCAGCACATATACTAAAAAGTGGAATCAAGTTTAAAGATGACACAAGATAGTTATTAAGTAATACTAGATTCTGTTGCCCCTTAGCTAATAGCCAATAGGAAATATCATAGAATCATGACCAATGTCAAATGCTATGGGTCTGTCAGCAAATTCTTTGAAGGAGCTAGGATGTATGATTAAATAAGTGTCTTATCATATGAGAAACTACAATTTCAACCAGAGATTATTATAACAAAGTGACTTCGGACTTCTACTTTGATTTCTTTATCTAAACAACCATCCACTTTTTCCACACAAAATTTTTTTTTCAACATCTGTACGTTTTTGAAGAAAAGCAATGTCTTATCCCCAACTCTATTCAAGATATTGTTCTAATTCACAGCATGCCTTTATTTGTTCTGCTTTTGTTTTGTTCAAAACACACATTTACTCAAAAGCATGACTTCTAATTATAAACTATAGTATTAGTAGGCACCATTACTGGAGAAAAATTAAGATGGTAAAAAATTAATTCTCAAAGAATAATATATATATGTGTAGTTATAAAACCAAATAAAAACATCAGCTGGGCAAAATACAACTACAAAATTGAAGCATTAGAATATGAACTAAAAAAAAATAAAGAATATGAACTAAAATTTTAAAGAACTCATCTAAATCACCA